GGGATTTTGGGGGATTTTGGGGAGTTCAGGGATGATTTGAGGAGGATTTTGGGGAGTTCAGGGAGGATTTGAGGAGGATTTGAGGAGGATTTGAGGAGGATTTTGGGGAGTTCAGGGAAGGTTTGGGGCGTGGGAGGATGATCCAGGAGGGGATTTGGGGTGGGAATGGGGAAGTTTGGGGGGAACTTTTTTCTCCCCGTGTTTGTCCCTTCCGTGTCCCAAATGTCCCCAACGATGTCCCCAATGTCCCCAACGGTGTCCCCAGGCCCTGGAGCGCGCCGGGCGCCCGGTGTCGCCCCCGGAGCCGCCGGATTCGGAGGAGGAGGAGAACGTGGGGTGGAGCAGCGTCAACCTGGCCGAGGAGCGGCAGCACCAGGACGTGAGACCCTAAAAACGGGGGGAAACACCCCAAAAACGGGGTGGGGGACCCCAAAAACGGGGGGAAACACCCCAAAAACGGGGTGGGGGACCCCAAAAACAGGGTGGGGGACCCTAAAAACGGGGGGAAACACCCCAAAAACGGGGTGGGGGACCCCAAAAATGGGACAAGGGGTCTCAAAAATGGGACAAGGGACCTCAGAAGTGGGATGGGGGACCCCAAAAATGGGGTGGGGTCCTCAAAAATGGGTGGATGACCCCAAAAATGGGATGGGGAACCCCAAAAATGAGATAAAGGATCTCAAAAATGGCCTGGGGGACCCCAAAAATGGGGTGGGCACTTCAAAAATGGGATGGGGACCCCAAAAATGGGATAAAGTATCTCAGAAATGGGATAAAGGGACCCCAGAAATGGGTGGGGGACCCCAAAAATGGGATAAATCACCCAAAAATTGGATGGGAACCTCAAAAATGGGATAAAGGATCTCAAAAATGGGGTGGGGACCCCAAAAATGGGATAAGGGACCCCAAAAATGGGCTGGGGGGACCCCAAAATTAGGGAGGAACCCGAAGATTTGGGGCAGCAACGGCCGCGCTTTAAAGAAAAGGGAGGAGCTGCAAAAATGGGACCCCAAAAACGGGGTCACCCCAAAACCCAAATCCTTTTAGGGGGTTTTTTTGGGGGGGGGTCCCGATTTTGGGGGAATTTTTTCGGGGGGGTTCCCGATTTTTGGGGTGTCCCCGGTTTTGGGGGGGGATTTTTTTGGGGAGTTCCTGATTTTGAGGGGGGTTCCCGATTTTTGGGGTGCCCCCGATTTTTGAGGGGTTCCCAATTTTTGGGGGCGGGGGATTTTTTTTGGGGGGGTTCCCGATTTTGTGGGGGGATTTTTTTGGGGGGGTTCCCGATTTTGGGGGGGGATTTTTTTTGGGGTGCCCCCCATTTTTGGGGTGCCCCCTGAGCCCCTTCTCCCTCAGTTCTCGGCGTCGTCCACCACGATCCTGGACGAGGAGCCCATCGTGAACCGGGGCCTGGCGGCGGCGCTGCTGCTGTGCCAGAACAAAGGTGGGGACTGGGGGGCTTGG